ATATTGTTTACACCATACTTGAGCCTGCGTTTCCCTGGGTTAGCCCACACATCTCTGGCCATACCCGGATCCGTGACATCCTCTCTTGTATTAAAAGAGGTATAGACTCCAGAGAGAGAGATATCATATTACCCCTGTACAAATCATTAGTAATACCTCATCTGGAATATGCAGTTCAGTTTTGGGCACCAATTCACAAAAAGCTGGAGAAAGTACAGAGAGGGTTAACATAACCAATAAGAGGCATGGAGGAGCTCAGATATGAGGAAAGATTAGAGGACCTGAATTCATTCTCTCTTGAGAAGAGGAGATTAAGGGGGGGAGATATGATCAACATGTATAAATACATAATTGGTTCATATAGTAAACTCGGTGTAGAGCTATTCACCCTGAGGCACTCTTTACATCTAGAGGAAAAGAAATGTAATCTCCAAACACGGAAAGATTTCTCCACAGTGAGAACTGTGAAAATGTGGAATAGACTCCCTCAAGAGTTGGTTCTGGCCAGCTCAGTGGATTGCTTTAAAAAAGGCTTGGATTCTTTCTTAGATACACAGAATATAACTGGATACAAACATTTATAGGTAAAGTTGATCCAGGGAATATCCGATTGCCACTCGGGGGATCAAGAAGGAATGTTGTTCCTGCAGGAGAAAATTGGATCATGCTTTGCTGGGGTTTTTCGCCTTCCTCTGGATCAACTATGGATATAGGATTATAACTTTTTTTTTTAATGTTTGAACTGGATGGACTTTTGTCTTTTTTAAGCCAGACTAACTATGTAACTATGTGTGTATGTATTTTTCACTCTGACTGTAGCCTACCACCAACTAACTGAAGCTTTTTCCTAACTTTAAAGGACACATACATCATTCATCCTGCAGCAGCATTGGTCAGTGCAAACAGAACTATTGGCAAAGTCACAGGATCTCAGATGTTATGTCAAAAAGACAGGATGATTAGACACCAGCATATGGCATCTTCATCCGTGCCCCTGCCCCGCACAGCCCTGAGCCCCGCTCCATCCGACTGAGGCGCTCACCAACGCCTAGCCCATTCCGGACATCGGCCTGCACCACCTCCAGACGCCGGCCTACACCGCCTCCTGACGCCGGCCTACACCGCCTCCTGACGCCGGCCTACACCACCTCCTGACGCCGGCCCTCAGCACCCCCTGACACCGGGTCCTCTGCGCCTCCTGCCACCGGGTCCTCTGCGCCTCCTGACGCCGGGCCCTCAGCACCTCCTGACGCCCGGGCCCTCATCACCTCCCGAAGCTGTGCACTCAACGCCTCCTGATGCCAGGCCTCCAGCACCCCTGACGCCGGGCCTACAACACCTCCAATCACCGCGTCCCACGGCTCGTCCAGCCACCGCACCACTGTGCCCACCAACGCCGTGCCACAACACCCGCGGATGCCGGCCTACAGCACCCACAGACTGCAAGCAGCCAGCTACGGCCCCAGCCGCCCACCACTCCCACTCCCCTCCTACTATTGGACACTGATGAACTCAGACATGGCATAACAGACTCTCCCCATCCTCATGTCCTGACTGAAACCTCCCTCCTCTCCGACCCGATCAGCATTCTGCCCACCCTAGCATGCCACCTGCACTCCTCCATGTTCTCCTCTCCTCCATCCCCAAACTTGCCTCCCTCTACCCCCCTACTCCCCCAAAACAGCTCTACATCGCACCCTCACTTCTTCCTTCCCCCCTCTACAGCTCTCATTACCTCCTCCTGATATTCCACTCCCCCACCGACCCACATGCCACCACCAACAGACCCACACGCTCCTGCACCTCCCGTTCCCATGCCACCTTCCTCACCCTCCTCCTTCTCCTAACCGCCGGTGACATCTCCCCGAACCCTGGCCCCCCCATCTCCCCATTCCCCCTCCCGGCACCCCCCTACTCACGCCAACCACCGCAACCCCCTCAATCTCATATCTGTCCCCCTCCTCCCCACATTCACCCCTCCCCTCTCGTTTGCACTCCTGAATGCCCGTTCGGTTTGCAACAAGCTCACCGCCATCCACAACCTCTTTGTCTCCCACTCCCTCAACCTCCTAGCGGTCACCGAAACCTGGATCCAAGCCACTGACTCCACCTCCCCTGCTGCCCTCTCCTATGGAGGCCTCGTCTGGACCCACTTACCCAGACCGAGCGGGCGCAGAGGCGGAGGGGACGGTATGCTCCTACCACCACTGAGCACCTTCCAGGTCCTCCCTAATCCCCCCCTCCCTATCCTCCTCCTCCTTCGAGGCCCAGTGCATCCGGCTCTTCTCTCCCACCCCCCTAAGGATTGCGGTAATCTATCGGCCTCCTAGTTCCGCATCCCCCTTCCTAGATGACTTTGCTGCCTGGCTTCCCTTCTTCCTCTCCTCCGAGCTACCCACCATCATCCTAGGCGACTTCAATATCCCGATCAACGCCAACAGCCCGGCTACTTCCCAACTCCTCCTTCTAAACTCCTCCTTTGCGCTCACACAGCACACTGAGTCCTCCACCCACTCCAATGGAAACACTCTGGACCTCGTTTTCTCCCACCTCTGCACCCCCCATGACTTCACTAACACCCCTTTCCCCCTCTCTGACCACCACCTCCTCACCTTCTCCATCTCCCCCTCCCTCAACTCCCCCCCCCCCCGAAGCGTCTAACCATCACCCGCAACCTGAACCCAACCCATCTCCATCTCACCAATGACCTGCTAACCGCCAAAGCCAATGGCCACTATTCCATCCTCCTGCTCCTCGACCTCTCCACGGCCTTCGACACTGTTGACCACCCTCTCCTCCTTGCCAAACTGCACTCCCTTGGCATCAGGGACACTGCTCTCTCCTGGTTCTCCTACCTTTCCCAACGCTCCTTCAGCGTCACCTACAACACTGCCACCTCCCCCTCCCTCCCCCTCTCTATCGTGGTCCCCCAAGGCTCTGTCCTCGGGCCCCTCCTCTTCTCCATCTATACCTCCTCCCTTGGCAAACTTATTCACTCCCACAGCTTCAATTACCACCTGTATGCCGACGACACCCAAATTTACCTCTCCACCCCCCACCTCACCCCCCTCACTCTCCGCCCACATCGCCCACCTCCTAAACGACATATCAGACTGGATGTCGCTCCATTTCCTCAAACTTAACCTATCCAAAACCGAGCTCCTGGTCTTCCCCCAACCCTGCGCCCCCCCCATCCTCTCCATCACTACTAACAACGCCACCATCTCTCCCACCCCACATGCCAAAGTCCTGGGTGTCACCCAGGACTCCCACCTCTCCTTCCTACCCCACATCCAACTGCTATCTAGATCTTGCAGGCTCCACCTCAGCAACATCTCCAAGATACGCACATTCCTCACCCCAGACACCACCAAACAACTCGTACACTCCCTCATCATCTCACGCCTGGACTATTGCAATTCCCTTCTCACTGGCCTACCCAAACGAATGCTATCCCCACTCCAGTTGATCCTAAACTCAGCAGCAAGACTCATCCACCTCACCAACCACTCCACATCTGGCCAATCCCTTCATTGGCTCCCGATTGCCCAACGCATCAAATTCAAACTGCTTACTCTGACCTACAAAGCCATTCACAACGCTGCCCCAAACTACATAACCGACCTGATACCAAAATACTACCCTACCCGTGCCCTCCGCTCCTCACAGGACCTCCTGCTCTCTAGCTCCCTGGTCTCCTCCTCCCACGCCCGATTGCAGGACTTCTCTAGGACTTCTCCCATCCTCTGGAACTCCCTACCCCAATCCATCAGACTGTCACCTACCCTCCTAACCTTCAGGCGCACCCTGAAAACCCTCCTCTTCAGGGAAGCCTACCCCAACCTCACCTAACACCTGACCTCACCTAACAACTAACCTCCTCCACTCCTCCCACTACTCCATCCCCCACAGCCATTTCCTCCTGTACCACCTTCCCCTCCCTCCTAGATTGTAAGCTCGAAAGAGCAGGGCCCTCGAACCCCTCGTGTATTGTATTGTTACTGTTTTGTCTCATGTTCTGTCCCCCTGCTACTGTACAGCGCTGAGCATACCCTTTGGCACTATATACTGTATAATAATAATAATAATAACAAATACACTTCTTAGGCCTCATGTACACAGAAAGAAAAATACTGCTTTTAGATGCAATTTTTTAATGCCTCTGAATACAGCTCTTTATTAACCAATTAAAAAAATGCACCAAACCTTTATCCTGAGAGAAGCATATGATTATACACACAAACGTTTTTGCCTAATTTCATTCCAGTAGCTAGAATAAATGAGCATTTTAGCTACTAGAATAAAGTCCCATGCATGCCCTAAACCAAGCATTTTCTATGCTCCTGAAAGAAAGATCCAGCGTAAATGGGATTATTTTAATACACTCCTGGGCATGCAGCCTTATACTTGGCTTCCAAGCACAAACAGTGTGAAGTTATAATTTACCCTGTGTTTATTGTATTAAAAAAATAGGCATACTCTTCCAATATGCTCAAAATATAATTAATCCCCTCACACCCACCCCAGCATACCTTTAACCACTTGCCTACTGGGCACTTATACCCCCTTCGTGCCCAGGCCAATTTTCAGCTTTCAGTGCTGTTGCACTTTGAATGATAATTGCGCGGTCATGCAACATTGTACCCATATGAAAATTTTTATTGTTTTGTTCACGCAAATAGAGCTTTATTTTGGTGCTATTTAATCGCTGCTGGATGGATGTTTTATTTTTTGCACTATAAACAAAAAAAAGGAAAAAAACTATTATAAAAGTTTGCAAACAGGTAATTTTTCTCCTTCACTGATGTGTGTTGATGAGGCTGCACTGATAGGCAGCACTGATGGGCAGGCACTGGTGGGCATTGATGAGAAGGCACTGATGATGCTGCACTGATATGCAGCAATGATGGTCAGTGATAGGCGGCACTGATACATTGCACTGATGGGCGACATTGACAGGCAGCGCTGACTGACAGCCCTGACTGGCAACACTGACTGATGGCACTGACTGGCGCCACTGCTGGGCACTGATAGGCGGCACTGATGGGTGCAACTGCTGGGTGGCACTGCTTGGTGGCACTGCAGGGCACTGATGATCAGTGCCCTGATGATCAGTGCCAATCTCCTCTGTGACAGCTGCCAGTTATCAGCAGTACTTTCTTCACGCTGTGAGAACGTGAGGAAAGTGCTGCCGATAACCGCAAACTGTATTTACCCTGTGATCTGCTGTGTTATTGGACACAGCTGATCACATGATAAAAGGCCGCTGTGATTGGCCTTTTACCTCATCACGTGATCAGCTGTGTCTGTAGGACACTGCGATCACGGAAGACGCTGGGTGCGCGTCCCTGGGGGCACGCGGGAGGGTGCATTCTGGGAACACGACATACGACGCCCTCCCATAACTGGCTAACCACGCTGTAGCCATCATTCGGCTATAGCGTGGTTACCAAGTGGTTAAAAGATTCTGAACACCCAGGGATGGGAAGGATCAGTGATCATGTGACCAATGTGATTGGCTGTCACAATGGTCACATGGTCAAAAGCTATGCCTGCTGTCTACCAATCACTAGTAGGAAGCTAGAGCTGTCTTTACAGCTCAGTCTCTGTGCTAGGAGAGTGCTCTCAGCACAGAAACATCGGTCTCCTGTTGACGCATATGTGTGGTGTGTGGACGGTGAAGCCCATTTTTTTGCCGCTACACATACGTGTTATGCATGCAGCAACAGTTTAACATAGCCATGCCTACTATTTGGTCAAGTTTGAATTATATACCTAAATAGTTTTATAATAGAATGATTTTTTAAAACTTCTCTAAGTCTGATTTATTTAATATCAAAAAGTCAGTTGAAGATAACTGGAGTTTTCTGCAGAGCTTTTCTACATTATTGGCTCTTCCAGAACAGTTTACAAAATTTGAAGCAGGTGTGCGGCAAGGTTATGTCTTTAAACTGTAATCAAATTGAAATGAATATATGTAAATGAGATGCACACCTGTTTAATATTTAGGTCTGCAGTTCATGATGAAGAAGGTGCAACCCTGCACTGGGTAATGAAGGTGCAGCATAACACAATTAACGTGGTCATACATTAAAATATTGAAGAATGTTTATTAGTGTGCTGCACCTTGCTGTTTTCTAACTCTCACATTTACCAACTGTGTGCTTTAATTGTGGTTAATGATGTTTTTCAATATTTTGAGCTGTATTTTCTCTCTGTGGAACACAGTCTGTTTGCAGGTGCTGCTGAATTCTGTCATCCATGTGTAATTCACACTCTATACTGCCTTTGCATCAAATGCTGTCATTTGTGTGTATTGCTAGTATTACCATCTTGCAAAACTTGGCTCCTCTAAGTAAACAAAAAGCAAATGCTAAGGTGACTCAACTGCTATCTATCACAATTTATTAAATCTTCAGAGCAGCTAGGGCTGTAGACAGATTACTAGATCACAATGTGATTTAAGACTCGGCTGTGTCTTGCAGCTGGCCAGATCTGAAGGCTTGCATTGCTAAGTATGAGGGATACAGCAGCCAGGAGACAAAGCAACACAAATGAATTTTTACATATGTGCTCTGCTGCACTTATCCATACATGTAATATATTTATGTGGGCAGCACAGTGGCTAAATGGTTAGCACTTCCGCCTGGCAGTACTCGGGTTGTCGGTTCGAATCCCAGCCACGGCACCACCTGCCTGGAGTTTGCATGTTCTCCCTGTGCCTGCGTGGGCTTCCTCCGGGTACTTCAGTTTCCTCCCACACTCCAAAGACATGCTGGTAGGTGAATTGGATCCTGTCTAAATTGTCCCTAGTATGTGTATGTATGAATGTGAGTTAGGGACCTTAGATTGTATGCCCCCTGAGGGTTAGGGACTGATGTGAATGTACAATATATATGTAAAGCGCTGCATAAATTGATGGCGCTATATAAGTACTGAAATAAATAAATAAAATAAATTTATTTTCAAATGAAAATATCAGGGCTTTTGTGATTTTGTATCACGTTGAACTTGTACAGAAGAGGTACAATACATGTTTAAACCTCTTGGCACCGGCACCTCCCTGCCCTTTAAGGGTTTCAGAAGCCGGGAGGCGGGCAGGGTTTTATGGTCATGTGACCACCGTGATTCGCTGTCAGGTGCTCACATGATCTGGAAAGGTCCCGATCACAAGAGGAGATCGGGACTTTTCCCTGAGCAACGGACATGTGTGCTGGGAGCGCGCAGGGCGCTCGCTCTCAGCACATATGTTTTTTTTAACGGCTATCAGCGCTGCATTTATTATTTATAGACTTTACTTTCTGACTGCCTATCACATTTCTTGAGATGTTAAAATGCCAGGGCAGCAACCCCTCCCCATGACCCCTTTTCGGAAAGCAGACACCCTACACTATTTGCTGAGAGGCATGTTGAGTCCATGGAAGAGTTATTTTATTTCCAAAAGTTTCTGGAAAATTACCAAAAAATATATATATATATATTTTTTTACACAAAGTTGTAACTTGAATGATATATTGCTCCCTCATGCAATAGGTATATGTGGAATTACACCCCAAAATACATTCTGCTATTTCTCTCAAGTATAGGGATACCACATGTGTGAAACTTTTTGGTCTGTCTAGCCACATACAGGAGCCCGAAATGCATTGACCCCTTTGAAAGCCTTAAGGTGCGTAACTTCCTCATTTCACTTCCCTACTACCTATCACAGTTTCAGAGGCCCTGAAATGCCAGGATAGCACAAATTTTCCCCCCCCACCCAGGGAGATTAAACCCCCCCCCCCCCCCCCCCCCAGTGACCCCTTTTTGGAAAGTAGACATTCCAAGGAATTTAATAATAGGCATGGTGAGTATTTTGCAGATCTAATTTTTTATCACAAGGTTTTGAAAGAGAAAAGGAAATACTTTTTTGTTTTCTTTCTTCATTTTACAAAAACTTGTGGCAACAAACAGGATCTGCAAAATACTCACCATACCTCTTAGCAAATACCTTGGAGTGTCTACTTTCCAAAAAGGGGTCATTTGGGGGGGGGGGGGGAGGTTTGGTAGTACTATATTGGCATGTCAAGGCCTCTGAAACTGTGATAAGTAGCCAGGAAGTGAAAAGAAGAAAGAAGAGGAGGAAGAGGAAATTATACCCTTTAAAAGCCTGAAGGTGCTTATTTGAATTTTGGGGTCCTGTGCCACATGAGCCAATTCCAAGATTGTACAAATGTCTAAATAGTAGCACGCTTGTATATTGTCCACATGTAAGCGGTACCTCTTATGGAACAAAGATGACACCACGTCCCAAACTATCTTACCACTGTTTCCCATGTAGTCTGGGCAGTCGGGGGGCTTTACTTCACTGTCTCTACCCTCATGATCCCTAAAATTATATGTACAACCTGTGGCCCTCTCACTGAGCTTATACAGTTTAAATCCAGATCTGGCACGTTTGCTGGGGAGGAAATGTTTGAATGCAAGGAAACCAGTAAAGGAAATGAGGGACTCATCCATGCAGATGTTTTGCTGGGGCGTATACACATCTGCAAATTTCTCAGTGAGGTGGTTTATGAGGGGTCACATTTTGTAGAGCCGGTCATGTTCAGGGTCACCCCAAGGACGACAGAGTGTATTATCATAGAAATGCATGAAGCGCATTATCGTCTCATATTATCGTCTCATATCTATGACTGGTCATGGCAGCAGAGGACATGGGCATATGATGAATTTGATCTGTGGACCAATTCGATCACAACTCATTCTTTTTTGTAATGCCCATGTTGAGGGTTAGGCCCAAAAAGTTTAACATTTGGACACTGTAATAGGTTTCCCTGAGAATTATCTGGCAAGAGCTGAATTTGGGTTGGTGGCAAAATATTGTTGTGCGTATGAATTGCTTTGGCCCGCAATCAAATTGTACAAACCATCTGTGAAAAACAGTTCCATAAAATCAAGAGGAGTAGTTTGCTATTTCCACCTGAATTCTGTGTTGGGCAGAGAACAGGGGAAGTACAGGTGCTGCAGAATCTGTGGGCTGCCAATCAGGATTTGCAAGCACATCCAGAAAGACACCATGAGTTCTACGGGCCTGTGTGCGAATTCTTGGTGGCTGAGGGACACTACTTGTGTTCGCCACCTCACCAGCTTGTACTGCACTTATGGGACTCGCCACGTCACCAAGGGATACTGCAGTGCTTGTATGAAAAAGACCAGGATGTACTAGGCCGCTGTTGCTCGCCAGTTCACCAAAAGGTAGTGTGGCACTAGTACCGGCACTCTGCTGCATATGAGACAAGTCATGCGTTCCTAGCACTTCAGCTTTTCGGGGTCAGGTATGCCTGATCTTAACATGGACCACTTCTCCATAGTCAGTGCTACCTGTCGAGGCGCCGCTGCTTTATACAGGTTCGTATTCGGAGGCAGATTCTGTTACAGAGGCTTCCCCCTCACTGTCATCTGACATGCTCAGAATCCTGTAGGCCTCTTCACTAGTGTAACTCTTTTGGGACATTTAGGGCTCTAAATTTACAGGTACCCAGTGTGACTGATGGGAAAAAGAGCACTTGGCTGTCAGGGACTGCTTGAACCTCTACTAATAAAATTCACCTGCTAGTGCTAGCAGAGATCAGGCCTGATTCTGCTAACGCTGCAGTTCTGTGTGCAATATATCACAGGTGACAGTGATCAGAAATTACACTGGCACTGCACTTCTTGTTAAGGGTGGGGGGAGGGGGTGTGGGGTGCTAAACACAAGTGCTGGCAGCGAACGATCAATATATTGATCCGTACAAACACTATACTAGTAATGATAGTGATCAGTGACCTAAAGCATGAGTGAGATAGTGTTTGGGCAATCTAACTCTAGCTGGCCCTGGCTGGGAGGGGCGCTAACTGACCCTAATGCTATTTGACGCTATCGGACGTTGCTAATGGCAGTAATACTGTGATCAATGAAAAATACTGTACACTGACACTGTACTAATGGCACTGGCAGGGTGACAGGGAGCAATCAAAGGGATAATGTGGCAATCAAGGGGTTGAATGTCTCTATCTAGTTTGTGTGGGTGCAGTGTGCTGATTTTACTCATGTGTAATTTGTCTTTCTTC